ACTTAAGGAATGAAAGTTCATATGAATAAATCTTATCTGTGATAACAGCTCCCATGGGTGGCAAGAGGTTGTGCTTGCACTCGCAGGGCCTTGGAATAAAGTGTCAGATTGTTCTGGAGATATGACCGATTGTCATGGAGAGGAAAATGACATGCTGTTTTGGAACAGACTGTTGGGAAATGTGAAACCTTCATTAACCTTTAATGGGCGCCAGGGATTCCATGAATGCACAGCATTCTCTTGTTCTTCATTTATCTTTAAGATGGCCTTTGGAGTCTTTTCCAAAACTGTGTAATCTAACACCATCTCCAACAGCCCAATACTTTTTCCAAACCCAGCTTTTGTTTGAAAGTCGATAGGGTACTTTTTCCTCTAGTTTATTTGATTTGCAGTGCTCCACTCCAATCTTCAAAAAAGCTCATTGGGTGAACGTGTTACTCATCATACAAGTCTGCATTATCTTTCACCCAAAAATGAAAATTCAGTCATCTTTTACTCACCCTCATGTCATTCCAAACCTGGGGTGTGTTTCCTGTAAAATGATGTAACTTGCTGATTAACTAGCATAGTAATGTGCATCGTTGGAGAAAAAAAAACATCACGGTAACACGGTCGCACATCCACTGTTTGAACCATGTTGGTTCAACAACGTAGGACTGTCATTAATGACGTCACATGCAGGTGGTGGAGTAATAACTTCTGCTAATTCATCAATTCGAGATCTACGAGATGCTACTCTAACGAACAAGGCACCTGATGACTACTATTTTTTGTACCATGTCATCTTGCTTTATTTGATGTTTGCTTCATTATGGGTTCCCTCTTGCATCATACTCTTTCCCATGCGGTTCCCTTTCATGCGCACTCTTAAAAAATGCCGTTGATTGTTGACATGCTAAAATATATAGATTGAAACTTATATATTCAAATGGCATTAATTATATAAAATGCACTGCACGTTAGATTGCTTATTTTGCTCATGTGCATGTATACGTCCACATGTCATTCTAAGAAGAAACAATGCTTCTAACCACAGGTCAAAAGCTGCATTTCCAACTACACAAGTTTTGGGTGTTGTTCATGAATGTCAGTTTGAACTATGGTTTCGGGAAACACTAAATTGACGAAACTTGCAAGCAGTTGGCTAATGATGCTTTTAGGAAACACACCACGATTTTCTTCCAATTTCTTCAAATTGGGTTTTGGACCCCATTGTCTTTCATTATATGGACAAAAACAGTTGCAACATCCTTCAGAATTTCTTCTTTTGCATTCTGCATAGGAAAAAAAGTCTTTTGGAACAACATGATGATGACTAAATGATGCCAGAATTTTTATTTTGGGGTGAACTTTAAATTGTTTCTCAATGCATGATATGAGCTTCTTACCCATAGTGGATGTTAAACTATCACGGGCTGTGTGCTGTCAGTATGCTTGAGAAGGTTTCTTGAAAGTGAAGTTCTCTAAGTGTTGCTGTTCTATATCTGTTTATGGGAGGGGTCGGGTCATACTAACACTGTTAGACATTTCGAGGGGTTTGTTGAACTTCCTTTCAAGTGGCCAATTTTGTGAGAATGTTTCTCTGCAACTGCAATTATTGTATAACTTGGGAATGCTTCAGCTGAAGAGCTTGGCAATGTTCTTGTGTTAATTGAGGACATAAGAGCTGTTTGTGATAAAGAAGATGTTTGCCTCAATAACTCAATGTCCTCATCCACTTACTTGTCTGATTTCATGAAAACATCTGGAAAGATCTCTCTCCTGATGTTTTTTGGTCTTGACAGTTGCAGTTCCTGAATACTCTTCCTTAGCTCTTCATTCTTCCTCTCCATCTCCATTACCACCTTAAAAAATATGGTAAATTTACAATGTAAATACATTTCTATATGAACAGACTTTAATTACCTTTCTCCGCTGATGAATCTCTTCTCGTATTGTGTCATTCTGTGAGGCCGTCAGTTTGACAATGGGAGGGATGTGGGAAGCATGTTTCTGAAAACCAAACCACATGCATATTTTTTTATAAAGCTCCTAAAGTCACAAATTACCTCCATTTACCTCCATAAATAAATCTAAAAATTGACACAGAAGAGCTTCTTTACCTCAACTACAGCAGACAGCACTTCCTGTTCTCTTTGGTGTTGGCGTCTCTCCAAATTGACCATTTCTTTCTTAAACAACAGGTTCAAATCTTCTTGCTCTTTCTGACAGTTATAAAAGGGGAAATATGTTACAACTTAATAAAACACTGAAGAGTTCTTATGGGAGCTAGAACCACATGCGTTTTTTAATAAATAAAGGATTTTCCTGAATATAATTTTGATGACTTTTTTTCAGTTGGCCAAAATGTCAGCTTTTGGTCATCCTGTAGTGAGTCCTGCTCATATTTTACCTGATGCATGTCTTTCAGTCTGTCCAGCTTTCTTTCCATATCTGCAATCTGCAAGGCCTTTACTGGGAACTCCATATCTTTGTATGTCTTCAGGCTGCGAAGCTCTTTCTGAGCCTCTACCACCTTCGCTTTCAGCAGATCCAACTGCTTCTGCAAACCTACATTTATAAGATGAAGTCAGCTGAAATTTCTTATGCAGTTTGGGGTTGTTTGTTTTTGCTTTACCATTAACAACCATCGCAGAAACAACACTATATGGCCAAAAGTATGTGGATAACACGTGGACCTCTCTGTGTGCACAGGGGATGGAACAGAAGAGAGCCTCATTGTACATTAAATGTTTTTGTATGCTTGATTTTATGCACCTGCTTGTAATGGATGTATACTCTACTGGTCAAAAGTTTGGGATCAGTAAAATAAAAAATAATAATAATAACATACTTTTATTCAGCAAGGATGCATTACAATGATCGAAAATGAAAGTAAAGACAACAAAGTAAAGATTACACTCCCAAAGATTATTCTTAATATAAATGCTGTACTATTTTATTTATTTTTTTAAATCATGGTTTCCACAAAAATATTAAGCATACACTGCTTTCAACTTTCTTTTTCAGTGTTTCTTGAGCACCAAATCAGCATATTAAATCATGTAATCATGTAACACTGAAGACTGGAGTAATGACAGCTAAAAATTCAGCTTTGCCACCACAAAAATAAATTACATTTTAAAATATATTCAAATAGAAAACAGTTCAAATGCCTCGGTGAGCATAAGAGACTTCTTTCAAAAACATTAAACAATCTTACCAACCCCAATCTTTTGTAGTGTGGTGTAGCTGAAATAGCCAAAACAATACAAAAAAAAACAAAAAAAACATACACACACAAAAAAAGTTTAAAACATACCTTTGGCTATGTAGTGTACAGTACATATTGCATTTTAAATGATGAGCAGTTAAACAGTTAAAGCATAACTGATGAAGTATAAACTAACCACTCATATGTGTCTGTAATGCCTCCTTTATATCTCTCAGTTCTGCTTTGTCACTTTTATTAAGATTGTCATTCCAATGTTTCAAAGCTACTGCTGATCTCTAGAAAGAACATAACAGATCATATTTTACTGGTTAAGCATATTTAATACTTGCACAATTCAAACAAAATGTTTGAGTTCAGTGCTCTTTGTGTACAATGGGAACTAAAAATGTAGCTCACCATCTTTTGCTCTGTCTGGATAAGCAGTTTGTTGGCTCTGGCAAATGAGCTTCTGTCTGTATCCATAATGCTTCTGGCCATCTGCAGGTTCGTCTCTTGAAGCTGTTCACAGAGCTCCTCCAGGTCTTTTATTGCTTCTTTCCTGGATTTGATGAGTAACTACAACAGATTGCAGCTGTCAACATGGTGTACTGTATACTAATCACAAGTGAACTATTAAATTCTACTTTCCTACTTTATAGCACACACAATCAGTTCTTTGATACTGTATTTCGTCTTTGTGGTGATCTGATCCTGCTCCACTGTTTCAGTTGTCCTTCTTGTAGGGAGTTTGGGGAGTGTTGTGAAATCATTGTGGACACGAGGTTGAGATGTTCCTGTTCATAAAGCAGAGATTACAAAATAATACATAAAGACAGACATGTCTCACAACAACTGTAGAAGCATTACTGTACTTCGATCCTAACTTAGCCATGTTTATACCTGATTTTCCAGTCGGAGATGGTCTGGTTTCTCCTTTGTTAGATGATATGACGGCTTTATGATGAGAAGTTGCCCAGAGCAGAGGGCTAGACCGTGTACTTCGCTTCCATTTGCTGTAATCCTTAAAAAAAATAAAATTGTTGCAGCTGCAGCTGTCTAACTTTACAGAAAGCAATACTCATACATGGAAGAATAAATGGGGTGTGTACTGCAAATATTTTCATTATCTGTCACAAAATGCCATTATATTAACATAAGAAATACATAACCATAAACAGTCAGTCATACCACGGAATTAAAGTTAAGCATATTTTGAGCTGCCATAATATTGTTTTTTTCTTCAGACCAGTCGACATCAAATTTACCGAGAGTTCTTAAACTATTCCAGCATTTCACAAGTTTGTCATAGCAACCGGAGATACACGCGAGTGCAACGTGCTTCTGCTGCCATCTAGTGGACATACTAAGCATGCGCATAATTGCGTTGTTTTCTTTATTTCAATTCCTGTTGTGTTTTCATTATGTAGCCTAGCAGGAAAGATTATGTCACTATTTATATGAATTTACAGAAATCAGTATATATTTTATGTGATTGTAGCAAAATTAGTTAATTAAGAATTGTGAAATTTCCCAATTCTTGTCAAAATGCACTTTTGTTATTGCTGCATTGCAGAACAATGACAAAATCCATAAAATACACTACTGTTTTTTCCCTCTTATTTAATGGAAAAATAATTAGTTTAATTAATGGGGTTTGTACTGTATAATTAAATTTTTTTATGATGTTGTAATGTAAATGATAAAATAATTGTAAAATATATTTTCAAAATACACTTTTATTGCTGACATTTCTGGATTATAGATAAGACGAATGTTTATAGAAGAGAAGGTTATACAAAAAGGCCCATATTCAGTGGCACATTTACAATGCAAACAGTAAATATAAAATGTATTATAAATAGCATGGCAATGATTTATATATCCAACTTTATCATCAAAATATTAACATTAGAAACTATATTACTTTGCATAATGAATAGCAGTGCATACATTTTTTTACTGCATAATTCCCCACGTAAAGGTGCGCTTAATATTATGTAATCATCAATATACAGATGCATATACAACCTTCACAGCACAAAAAAAGAGAAACATTTAATGAATAACATATGGAATAACCTAGTGTTTTAAGTTTGTTGTTATGGCACCATCAAACAAGATCATTTTTGTGATCACTGCAAATAGTAAAATCTTAACATTTAAATATCTAAAATAAATGTGTTATTGAAACAGATGTTCTGTAATTACATTCAAAGGTATAAAGAAATGAAAAACATGATCATAGTATAGCTGCAGATTTTCCTGAATGAGGTTTTGATTGGCAGTTCCAGTGTTGATGACATCATGCCGTGTTGTTGTTGATGTCCATCCGGCTGATGAGCTCTGTGACGAGCGCCTGCAGCGTCTCTGAACGCATTTTGCTCACTTCCAGCACAGCTTCATGATTGACAGACTCATTGTCCTCATAGCTTTTCACTACTTTGTTAGTGATGAGGGAGAGACCAAAAACTCTCATGCCACAATGACTGGCAACCAACACTTCTGGTGCAGTACTCATTCCTTTAAAGGCAAATTAGACATAAATTAAAATTAAAATGCATAATTATGACAATATAACAATATGACTTACAATTTCTATACAATACACAGTTGTGTATCAACCTAGCAATTTGGCCATAATGGCCAACTGGCTTTTTATTTGACTGCTTACCAACTACAAATATAAATGCACTTGGAATATTGATTTAAGTTTAAGAAATTAATATATTATAATATATTATATTAATATATTAAATCTATTATGAATATGATAACAATCTATAATGTCACAGCATTATACAAGATATGTGAAACTAACACAGCTGCGCAGGAAATCAGTAGCCTGGCACAGTGGCAATTATTCAGCTTAACGGTCATGACAGACAAATATGTGACCCTTGATATATTTACGATAGGAAATTTACAAAATATCTTCATGGAACATGATCTTTACTTAATATCCTAATGATTTTTGGCATTAAAAAAAAAATCTATAATTTTGACCCATACAATGTATTTTTGGCTATTGCTACAAATATACCCCAGCGACTTAAGACTGGTTTTGTGCTCCAGGGTCACATATTTGTCTGCGGAATGCAGTGACTGACCAATCAGAACCAAGTATTCCAGAGAGCTGTGCAATAAAGGAGCTTATTCATCAGGCAGAGAAAAAAAACTAATATTCAGCACTTTTAGGGAAATTTAAACATAAAAAATAAAAACAAAAACTAGGTATGCATGATATATTGGTTTTAAATCAATATTAGATTAATTTATTGGTATTGAATATTTAATTGTGCATGCTAATTTCCTCTATTTTTACATTTAATAAAACACTAATAGTTTAATAATGCAGTTAAATATAATCGTCATCCAATCTCTATATGAAATATGGAAGCCATTGACTTCCACATAATTTTTTTCCATGCAATGGAAGTCAATGGCTACCAGCAACTGATTGGTTTTCAACATTCTTCAAAATATCTTCTTTTGTGTTCAACAGAAGTAAGAAACTCATACAGGTTTGGAACAACTCGAGTAAATGATAAAAAAAAATTTTTTGGGGGGGGTGAACTATCTCTTAATGAAAGTGTTGTTAAGTTACATCATCAGTCAAAGTTACAGTCTAAGCTGGATTTTTTGAAAAGCTTAAATGCCCATTCATTGTTTAAGCAATTTAAAGATTTGGATTAGATATGAATTGTATTGATTTTACGAAACGAGTCATCAGCTTACCAACTGCATCCACTCCCAGTCGGTGCAGAAGGCGGGCCTCAGCTATGCTCTCAAAGTTGGGTCCTCCCACCATGCAGTAAACGCCCTCTTGAACACACTGGGAGACGCCCATGCTCTTACAGATGTCGAACGCCATCTTCCGTAAGCTTTTGTCATAGACCCCAGACATTGGCGGAAATCGAGGACCAAACCTTGACAGTGACCGATAAATGATTACATTCCTTTTACTGGTGATTCTAATGAATGAACGCTTTTTAAACTCACTTCAACATGTACACTGATACTCACTTATCATCATTAGGGCCATTTAGAGGGTTCAGTCCAGCAAGTCCAGGGAAGTTAATGTGGTCACGTATGATCATAATATCACCACAGCTATAACTGTCTGCTAATGACCCTGCTGCATTAGTGACAATCAAGGTTTCGACACCCAGAAGCTTGAACACTCTTACTGGAAAAGTGACCTGAGGAACACAAGCACAAATTCTGGTAACTGTTAATCCATTTTCAACATCCAGTGCCTTTGTAATACACCTTCAAGAGCTTGTGAGTGTACTGTACAGGCATGCTACCGATAAGCCTTTTTAATCTAACTGTCTAACCACACAAAATTTTCACTGAATGGTACATTGTGCTCAGATATACAGCATGTGACTCAAATCAGCATGACCAGGATGGAGCAGAGTGAATATACTGTGCGGGCATCCAAAAAGAAAAAGGAATCTCCTTAGTCTATCATAATTTTAAACTGCAGCATGACAGCATGTATAGAACAGTGTTTTGGGGATACTTTTGGAATGCAATATAATTCTGTTATATAATATAATTCTATTTGTGACACATGATGTAACTGTCAAGATAGACAGATTTTGTATTAACCTGAGTCATTAAGCAAATAAAGCCTGATGGGACTGTGTTAAACCGTGTTAGCTCAAGAAAGATACATACTTACCAAGGTGAACTGAAGTGAAAAAATATCACTGAAAAGTTTAGGGTCAGTAAGATTTTCTTTTGAAAGAAATTAATATAGTACTTTTATTCAGCAAGGATGCATTCAATTGATTAAAAGTGGTAGTAAAGACATAAATAATGTTACAAAATATTTCTATTTTAAATAAATGCTGTTTCCCAAAAAATATTAAGCAGCATTACTGTTTTTAGCATTGATAAAAATATGAAGAAATATTTCTTGAGCATCAAATCAACATATTAGAATAATTTCTGAAGGGTCATGTGACACTGAAGATTAAAGTAATGACTGTTAAAAAATCATTTTATATAACAGAAATAAATATAAAAATATATTCAAATAGAAAACGTATTACAATATTACTGTTTCTACTGTATTTTTGATCAAATAAACAGCCTTGGTGAGCATAAGATACTTTTTCCAAATCAATATAACACCAAACGTTTGAACAATAATTTATGGAAAAGAAGGATGGCATGAAAAGGTCAAACCTTGCTTAACGAGTGTCCCTCATACATGTGGAATCGGCCCTGCATGCACACACAGGTCTTCCCTTTGAGCTCTCCAAAAACCAGCCTTCCAGCATGACCCTTCACTGTTTGAATATACAAACACTTAGTCAAGACACATTATCACATACAACATAATAGACTACAAAAACTTTATTTTCTCTCTGATTTAATCAAAAATGGTCGAAAAAGTGCAATGAATCTGCTGGTTGTAATCTTGGCACTTTAAAATTTAAGGCACCATTTAAACCAAAATTCTTGATTTCTGCAGGTTAAAAAAGTTTAACAGTGTAACATGCTAGCATAATATAAATTTTTTTGCTAGTACTTTATTTCTGCAAATGGACAAAAACACTGATGCAAATACATTGTTACATGCTCTGAGCTGCATCTTACCTGTGCTTTGAGGAAAGCCAGTGATGTCTGAGTATTTGAACGAGTCTTGGCATTTGAGCGCATCCACAAGCATTCCCAGCCCAGAACCGCAGATGATGGCTACTTTAGGTCTGTGTTGTGTCTGGGACAGCAGCCAGTCTGCCGTTCTCTGATAGTCCTCATGGCTGGTGATGAGAAAGCAATTAAACTTTTAGTTTTGGTTTTATTAAACTGACTCTATATTCATTATAAGGAACTGTGAAATTTAAAACATCAATTCAACTAAAATAAAACATGCAATTCATTTGCTGCACATTGTGGTCTGTTCCATGACAGTTTTTGAAATAGGCCATATTAGGTCTATTGTGACTAATACAAAGTATTATATTGACATTATTGATTAAAAATGAATCATGTTTTATACTGTGAAATGACAAACAGAATTCAACAGCATTAAACAGAGCTACGCTTTTAAATTTTTGACAAAAAGTACCTATGTATGATATTTTCCTTCATATACACAATCCTAAAATGGAAAGAAAACTTACCAGATTTGATCTTTACTATGCATGTTGGTCTTGTGTGTTCGTCTTGAAGAAAGTTTCAAACCGAAGAGTGATCCTGGTGTGTGAATGAGAGAGTAGCTCTCTCCATTTAAGTAAAGCTAATGCCTGACCTCACTAACACACACAAACACTCTGATTGGTTACAACTTAGTATTATAGTTTAGTCATGCCAAATGAAATGTCTTGTAATTTGTAGGTGTGTCTGAGTTTAAATATCAGAGGCAAGCTACACTTTTAATCAGATTTGGGGGATGTAAGCTTTTAAACCACATAAGAAAGTCTGAATACATTACTAACTAACACTAGCTTCTCTAATCTTTTTGTATTCTATTTATTTGTTTTCTTTTTATTTATTATACAATTAAAAAATGCAAAAAAGGCCTATAGCACTAGCTTGCTCTATTATTTTTCTAATCTATCTGTTTTCTTTTTATTTATTATATGATTTAAAAAAAAACTTTGCTACGTGTACTGCATTAAGCTAACTGAGACTTGTTATTGCACTTGCATATCATTGCTCTTTTGTTGATTTTGATTGCTTCCATTGTCCTCATTTGTAAGTCGCTTTGGATAAAAGTGTCTGCTAAATGTCTAAATGTAAATATATGCAGTATGAGATCTGCCAATGGGTCAGGCTCGAGTTCTGCCACAGGATCCGTAACATGTGAAGCCCATTACCAGGGGTACAGACTCCAACCCAAATCTAAAGCACAGGACCAGAAAAGTTTAATTTGGGGACCTCACAAGATTCGTCTGATTGCAAGCAATTTTCCACTTTTAGATGCAGATCCAAAGGCTTGTAAAAACATTTCAAAGGTATAATGCAACTTCTTTTCTCTTGACATTACTATTATTAAGAGAAATGCATTTCACACAGTGGTTGACCCAACTTCTCATTGGCATGCTCTGGCAGTGTATGAATTGTCCTTGACCAAAACCAAACACTGATACAGCACATTGTTTCCCACACATTCTTTACTTTTAGAAACAGGATCTGTAAGAAAAAACACACACACAGCATTCACATTATTTTATATAATATACAGTTATTTGGCTACTTACCAAATAAATAAACATGTAAATAAATGCACTTGGAATATTGATTTGAGTTTGAGAAAAACTCAAATCAAAACTTTTTAAAAAAGAAATAAAATAATTTTATGTCACAAGAGAAAGACCAGAGTGTGATACAAGATATGTGAAACTAACACGGAAATGTAGGAAATCAGTTGCCTGGCACAGCGGTCAATACAGTTTTACGGTCATTACAGAAAACTATTTGTCAGCGGAATGCAGTGATTGACCAATCAGAACCAAGTATTCCAAAGAGCCGTGCAATAAAGGAGCTTATTCATCAGGCAGTGAAAAAACCTAATATTCAGCACTTTTAAGGGCATTTAAGTATAAAAATAAATAACAACAAAAAGTTAGTATCAGGTTTTGTATTAGTTAGCATTGGATATTTTTTTGTTAAATGTAATCTTTAGCAAATCTCAAAAATCTCAATATCTATTTTATATATTATAATAGTGTGATGCCTAAATTCACTTGTAGCAGTTAAAATAAATTATTATTTATTTATTTTTTTTTGTGTTTTATTTTTCATTTATTTAGACAAATACTGTCTGGTTATTGGCCATAACAAGAAAATAATTATCAGCATACGGTATCAACAAGAATTTTAATATCAGTGTATCCCCCAACAAAATTGATCACCCAAGAAAAACAGAACTAATTGAATCTGAAAGCAGCATTTTGATTTCAAGAGCAGACTCAATCCTAAACGAGGTCATTTCTATGAGGAACATTCAGCTCTAAACAATAATATTTACATTTTCAGCATTGCTCTCTCACATACCATCAGTCTGACAATGCGCACCAGAGTCAAGATAGCTTTCAGACACATGAACACCTTTTGTCCCAAGAGGACATGGAAAAATTTGGAATGTAATGTGAGTGATACAATGTAATCAGACAGATAAAGAGAAAGTCAGAGAACAACAGACAGAGAGCGAGAGTGTATCCCTCTCTCTGTAACTACATTAACAATGTTGAGTGCCAAGCATACCCCATGCATCTTGCTCTCTCTCCATCTGCTCAGATGTAATCTGTAGCGTATGAGGCACATGTGATTTCACCCACTGGAATCTGATTGCCCAATTCAATCATTATTAATGGATTCTAAATAAAAACACAAAATATGAGAGGAAATGAAAAAACTCTATCTACTGTATTGTAACATTTGATGTAAATACTGAAATAGCATCGGGACAGATTAGGAGAAATTTAGCATTACATATCTTGCTCACCATTGGATCCTCTGCAGTGAATGGATGCCATAAAAATGTGAGAATTAAGCAGTATTATGGATAGTGGACTGGTATTTAGCCAGAAGCAACAGTTTGAATTTAAAAACATCTTAAAACGTCTTCGGCATGACCTGTGTCTGAAGCAAACATCTAAACACAACAATAACATTGGCCGGCGACAGCCTATGATGTCACTGTCGGTGCAACCACAGTATAAAAGGATGCCGATAGAACACATCATTCGCTTCTTCGTCTGAAGCTTGCGTCCGAAGCATGGCAAGAAAGAGGACACAGTGTCTCGTTCCCTTCTCAGGGAACCATGGTTACATGCGTAACCTGAGACATTCCTTTCTGAGGGAACTCGAACTGCATCCTCTAACGGTCACTATGGGGAATGTAATACCCACGCTGCCATGCTGAGGGGTGTGCATGGCAAGCATCAAGGCGAGCACTAAGAACTAACTCTACCATAGCCATGGGAGTTGCACCTTGGACGCCTCAGCGGCTGTCAGTGACCATATACCCTTCAGCCAAAGGCCTGAGCCATATGCCCAAAATAACTTACCTGTTATGGGCTAGGCAAAGAAAGCCTGGAACCAGGACAGAGCTCAAAGGCTTGGAATCAGATAAAAACCTGATTCCTTAACCCTTTGAGCGGTATGGGATTTTTATTTCTGTGCCCCTGGAAGTACGGTCCCACATATGGGATTTAGAATGTTCTGTGACGTCACAAAACTGCCAAATTCAAACTGCTTTTGTGCTTTGTCTGGCGCTGAGATGCACTCTGCACTTGTCATATAATCGCAGTGTTTTTAACCACATAATGATTATTTTAGGTTTCAGACATGTAAATACACATAAGTACTAGTAAAACAATACATTTAGAGTTTGTAAAATACACACGGATGTCTATGGAAGTAGCAATAACAATCCATTCAAATATAATTTGCTGATGTATTTTATTCATATCAGATACACATAGTGTAAGTAACTATAAAGTTTACTCTATTCTTCTCCCAGTTCACCAGCCACTTACTTGCATGTATTTCGGGAGAAATTGATTCATGTGCTGTAAATCTGACTGACAGGACTCTCTAAACTGCACCGCGAACAAACATGGCAGCGCCCATCTCACATTATACATCACGATCAAGCTCATTTATGACAGTTTTTAAACAACACAACACACTCACACATATCTGTGAATCGGAATATCAGATAGTTGATGACATGGTAAGCAAGTGTGTGAATATTTTGAATAAAAAAGGAAAAACTAAATAAAAGCGATCCATCTGTCATACAGTGTTTTCGTGGCTGCGGTGTGTTACGTGACAAGCATAACACGTCGCCATGGAAACATAAGGGGAAACGTTCTAAAATAACGTTCGCCTAAAAAAAACTCACTCTGGGGGGACAGCTAGAATATTTTAAACTCACCAGTGAAAAGGTTAAAGGGGATATGGACAGGCGTCTAGGGATGATATTTAATAAGATAATAAGATCTACCTGTCTAAACCAATCTAAACTGGGAGCAGCATGCAAATAGACAACCCTCCATAATGAGGGGAGCACTGCCAGACTCAAAAAGGGTAGTCTAACAGGGCGGCAGAAAGAAGGCCTGTCGACCTAATATAACTACACACAGGGCTCCTACACACTCACAAACTCATACATCAGTATAAGGAGAGTGAGGGTCCCATACCGCTAGGTCTGATGAAGAAGTTTGTGGGAGCGGTGCCTTAGCATCACCCTTACTTTTGTGGAGAGCAATACTAGCTCAACCACAAGAACAGAATGGGACCCGAAGCCATTCGTGCACATGATTAGAGCTCCTCAGAGTGAGTACTTTCCAATAATATACCTTCAGAAGGAAGGTAGTACATCACACTCATACTTCAGGGAAAAAGTGCACTCAAAACCACTCGTAAGAGGGGAGAGACTGATTCAACCATAAGGGCAGTGTGACAAGGAGGACCACAGTGGGCCTGACAACCTATCAAAACTGCAGAGTGGAATTCAGAGAGCGGAGTTACTCAAAACTCAAGCTCAGTGCATTTGCAGAATGGTCATGGGGTAGCTTAAGTCTGCAGAAGCCCCTCAGGGAGCGAGACAAAAATAGCTCACTTCATGAGCTATTCCTTGACTATCATCGTACTCAACTTGCAGTGCTAATCTGGGTTCTTGATGACCAAGGAGGCTCCTAGAAGAAGCCTAACGACTTGGTGTCAGGGTTCTCCAGAATGAACAGGGAGGCCCAATAAGACAGGTCTAACAACCCGCTATCAAGTGAACCAGGATTCTGTACCAGAGACTATCCCGCAGGTAGCCCACAGGAGCGCAAGGGGGGTGGGGGGTACAGTCAAGCTCCTGTCTCCAGGGAGCAGAATGCTCAACTGCACCTACTCGAAGGTGAGGAGCCCCAGCTTGACCTAGAGAAGCAAGAAGATAGTAGCCTGTGAAGGCCTACAACTTGGGCTAAGGAGAACCCAACTGGGGAGGTCAAAACCACAGACCCCAAGAGGTCACCAGAGTGCTGCAAGAAGAAGGCTAGTTACTACATACACACAAGAAACTAGCAATAAAATAGATATAATAGTCCACAAGTCGTCAAATAAAGCGTGCCTCACACGGCTCCGGGGGGTGAATAAAGGCCTCCTGTAGTGAATCCATGCGTTTTTGTAAGAACAATATCCATATTTCAAACGTAATAAACACTTTTCTCTCACTT